TCAATAGACAAAAACCGTTCATGTATCGGGATTTTAATATACACTTTGATGTTTAAGTCAGCTTTTGACGACAGAGAAATGCAAATTTGCAGCTTGAAGGAGCAGTGCTTGCATTTGAAGTCATACTAGTTGTTTAAGGAGATATATTCAATTGAAATTTTTAACGACTTTCTGAGATTTAAATAAAAAAAAATTAGAAGTTTGGAGTATTTAAATTTTTATGACTTCTAGAAACTTTTATAAAAGTCTCAATGGTACTAACTTTTAAATAGACAGTATTAAAATAAAATCTCAAAATTTGTCTCTCATTAATCACAAGATTTTGGGAGATTTTTACATAAAAAAAAAAAATTTAATTTATATATTTTTAATATTTCTCTTACCTTTTTCCTTTTACAAACATTAGAGTTATGATTAAAATTTATTTTTTTCTATTGATTATATTAGTTTCTATTTTTTCCTCTCTCTTATTTTTTATTTCTATTTTCTATGAAAAAAAATTAAATTGTATTCTTTTAACTTTTTTTCCTTTTTTCGTTCATTTTTTGTGAAAAATATCCATTTTTAATTAAATTATAAAATTTTATATAGACTAATTTATAATTAAATTTAAATATATGTTTTTTGTTTATTTTTTAAAGATATGTCATATTAATAATACTGAATATTAAATTTATTTTTATATATATAATAATTATTATTTATTTAATTAAGATCTTAATTTTTTTTAATATTTTTTTCTTATATGGGGTAAGGAAGATGAAGGCGAAGGGAAGAAGAAGAATTGTAAGAACTACCATCTCGTATGTGATAATTTCGCAATATTGCACTAGATGTACATGAATTCTATTTTCAATGATAGTCTTCAAATGTCTTTCTAATTTTACAAAAGTTCATAAAAGTTTTAAAATGAAAGTTTATAGAAGTCTATAAAAGACTTACACTAATTCCATTCAAATCTCTAAAAAGTCCACGAAATCCCCATAAATCATCACTTAAAAATAGTTCATCAAAATTTTCAAACTCCCATTTGAATACACCCCCACCCACCCAACACCAAGATCATATAAGAAAATATATAAGAATATCAAAGTTGATCAGAATCTCAAGAATTTTCTTAAAGAATATTATAGATCATTACAGATCTAAGGTTCTTAAAAAACTAGAACATCACAACTGAAATAGGAATAGATTTGGCTTCCACTAGGCTTTGATACCTCTGTTAATTCGAGTAATGGACTCAACCAACACCAAAAACAATAAAGAGCATAGATTTTTAACCTAAACTCTGGAGGTTCTGTGTCAACTTCTAACACTTAATCCTCCGTAGAGCATACATTAAAAATTACACTCGAATTCACCACAACGTTAAATCACACTCGAATTCACCACAACCTTAAATCACAAGGCAAAAATCAAGATTACAACATTTCTCACTCACAAAACACAAATCGTATTAGAAACTTCTAAAAAAAATTACAGAATCAAATACCTCTCACTTAGGGGGGGGTTATTGTTCATGATATCATATAGAAACTTTTCCCTTTACAAATTTTCAATAAGAAAATATGGAGAGAAGAAGATGAAGAACAGACGAAACAGAGAGAAGAATCTCAGAGAAAAACTACTACAATCTTGCTACATGTATATGAATTTTGACATTGTTGTGAGGTGGTTAACTTTTTAAATGTTGATTTTAACAAGTTTTTAAATAATTAATGACACGGATTTTGACACATCTAACAGTATCAACTTTAATATACACTTTGAATGTACAACTAACATATTTGAAACTTCTAAGGTTTCACACTTCTCTCAAATGAGAGAAATGTTGTATTTATATGATATAAGACCCAAACCTGGATTCAACGGGCCAGCCACTATCACGTGTTACAATTCAGGCCAATGTTTGATGAATTAATCTATTTGTACAATTGTTGTTGACAATCATGTTTGACAATATTGATGTTGTCAAAATCTGAACATTTGATTTAAAAAATAATTTTTAAAATAAATGAATGTGATGTTGCAAAGTGTAAGTTGTCATACAAGATTATAAAAAAAGATTGTACAAGTAACATGATTGATGTTTGATTTAATACACAAAGCGTGAATGCATAAACACGATTTAATCAAGTCTTCAAAATCAGTTGGATCAAACAACGCGGGCAACGTCACAACATCGACCAAATTAACTTGAGCTATTTCATTTGGTCTCAAAATTAATCAACAAACCAAAATCCCTCACAGTGTACACTATTATGAGGGCAATTTCGTTACTGCACTCTCTTCTTCAACAAGATTTTGACACATATCCGAAGTGGTCGAGATTGATATTCTTTCATCCATTATTGAAACGGTTATTGTTCAATGGCCTGCAAAAATGGCCTGAGGGACGATCTTGTTGCAGTTTACTATCTCAAATCCTTCCGGTCAAGGATGTGAAAAAAAGCATAGTTCATGTGGATACGAGGATAAGTTCAAGAGGCTTAACTCCCACGAAGCATTCAGAAATCATCAAGAGAGGAGACATTTTCTGAAGTAGAAGTAAATTCAATAATTAGTTTGAAGCAATGCTCAATGTGCGAAAAAGAGATTGACAAAGAACAATCGCTTTGTCGTGGCCATTGTCGTGCAGCATTTTCTGAACTTCTCTATGCCGACAGTAGCCCTGGAATGTAGCACGCGATGGTCGATGAAACTTGTGGACGTCACAAAGCAATGACGGAAAGAGGAGGAGTTCGCAATGAAGATCTTCACATTTGATTGTTTAGTCAAACAACCCTACAAATGGCTAGATTCACTGGGAATCCACTAGAAAGGCATATGGAGAAGGAAATATCGTTGTTATTCTCACCGTCCATATGGCCTACTTCCCGTTAAAGGTGGAATTTGGGATTCATGGTGTAGCCTAGATGATGGCGAATATCCCCTTGATTAACCTTTCAATAATAATTTAAAGGATAGACTGTCAAGACCAATACTTCTTTCTAGTTGGTTTTAGTACCATACCCTTCGCTTGCTGCCGTGGTTGACATTCTTTATCACACTCCGACATTATATTATGTACTGACCAAACTTAACGTCATATAAGAATCTTTTACCCAAAGACAAAGAGGTGATTCTTCATTACTTTAGATCCGAAAGGGAAACTAGATCAGATAAAGATACTTTACAGGGGGCCCTCCCCCAACCTATTACAGGGGCCAGTTGGCCCCCTAGCATTACCAGGGCCGATGTGGCCCTGGTAATGTAGCATGATTCAACTAGATTGGATGCCAGCATTTGTTAAAATCAGTCATTTACTCAATGACAATGCCAAGTCACAGATAGTTATGGTGGGCCCTAGACTCATAAAAATACAATGTTGAGTAATTTTTAACGTCAAAAAATCTGGCCCATCTTATGAAAATATATTTTCTGTACAAGGCAGCTTAAGTAAAAATACCTACCAAATTATAGTAATAGCATCACATATACATTAAACAATAACAATTTACCAAACTAATCAAATTATCATTTGCAATAAAATTGCAACTTGCTAATGAATATACAAGTAGAGTGGCTATGTGGGTTACAAGTTTCCAATCAACTGAACATCTGTTTGCCAGCAGCAAATGGATGTTGCCAAACACACTCAAGAAAAATCCCTTCATTACACATCGATGAGGACACTTGTGCTAGCTTACTGCCAAAGACACTCAAGCACCTTAAAAAGAAATCGCTTCATTACATATTGACGTGCAGATGCACAAACACCACAACAATCTTCAGTTTCTATGTCCCCGAATTTGTAATCAGCTCCAAGAGCTCAACAGCCTCTCTTAATCTTCTCTCTGCCTGCTCTTTTGCCACCAAGTTCCTAGTGTAACTACATCAAGACAACCAAATGAATTTTTAATTTCATATGGGAATGATGATATTGTTGTTGCAAACATAATGCAATATTGATGACGGTGGAATCTTGTTATGTTGGACTGGATAGTAGGGATATGATTAAGGAAGAAAAACAAGTTAAAATTTTTTTTTTTTATCTTGTGCAATATTGTCAGGTACAATGTAGAATCAAAGAGTTCTTTTATTGCACAATTAACCTCTTATCATTTCCAGCCTTCCTTGCAAGTTCTACCACAAGGTTGTGTAACCTCCTCAAAAGGCCTGGTGAATTGTGTACGGCGTCTACACCTCTCTGGTTCTGACATATTTTCTTTAAAAGCTCGGATGCAATGAAATATGCTTCCTCCTTGTTCCTACAAAATATTTCAAAAATAGAAATGACTCTAATTAAACGAAATGGTTAAAACCAAATGTCCAATAAATTCAGACACGCACCGTAGAAACTCCCACAGAATTGTTTCCACTGATCCCTGATTCTCAATTACAAGTTCGGTGAGATGTGGATATCGTGCAAGGTTTCTTAGAGTAGAGAGTGCGTGTTTAAGTACTTGTTGATCTGGGATGCTACGGCTGACAGAGCGGATCAGCTTCAATAATGTGCCTACAGCACCCACAGCAACAAGTTCTTCACAACATTTCTGTGAATGTTTTGTAGCCATATCTGCATAAAATTAGAAAAAAAAAATCGAAGACTTTAATATCTTCACCCAGATTCGAAGTCACTAGGCTTAAAAAGGATGCACCTAATTCCAACAATTATACAAGGTTCTTACTGAAGTTGACTCGGTATGACTTAGAATTGCTAACTTGAAGAAAATTCAAGTAAAAAATTGCTATGTATACTTCACGGACGAAAATGAGATGCTCACCCAAAGTTGCACAGGTATGCAGAATACCACTGACACTTCTCATACTCAGAAGTTCTGTAAGTGCTGCAACAAGTCTGTTTATTAAACGCAAACTATCGTCTACATTAGCAGCAGATCGTTGCACTCTCAACCTCAAATCCAGTAATTGAGCTCTTGAATCTTTCCTAGCAAGGTAACCTTTCCAATATGACTGCCAAAGAGAAATCCAAGAAAAACATAAACAGGGAGAAATGAATGCCATAACTTGCACAAAAATGCTTCTATGGCACCATCACTAACACCATATAAAACAATTAAACGCAAAAGTTAAGAGAAGGAAATAATTATGTGGAATTTCTCCTTTTTCTTTAAAAAAGAACTACTTAAAAGGAGATGAGCATTAATGCATCGTTACTTGCTCTTTCTAAAACGATAAACTTGGCCGATATCTGTATATAAACAGGAAATAACAAAGTAAAGATCCTGACGGCATGATTCATTCATTCCATATAGCAGTGTCAAAAGAAAAATGACTCACCTGAATTACAACAATACGCTGTCTCTCTATTGCAGCAATTCGTCTTGCAATCCATCCTCGAAATTGTGATTGAATAACAATTACCGACTTTATTTTGACTCTGAGTAGTAGAACATTCCTCCACCATCTTTGTAACTTCAAAACTGATTGCAGAAATATCTTCAATTCAAAGCCCTGGAAGCTATCTCTTGCTGTCTTACGATAGCAAGAAGCTCCTGGATTGACAAAAGGTCGAGGTAGTTACAGTTCAATACAAGCAAGTTCAAATAAGAGAGATTCAATTGAAAAACAGCAAACCTAGAAGCCTCTTCCTAGTATTCTCTCCCCTGATGAACCGCTGAATGTCAATAGCAGCACTCTTGAGAGAAAGAAAGGCTGTACGACAATTGAAGTACCAGAAAGCACTTTGGATCTTCCTAGCAGCATCCTTTTGACACAAAAATTCACTCCTTTGCAACCACCCACGGCAACAGTTCTACATTCATTTAAAAGAGATAGTGCTTTCATAAATACAAGGTAGCACATTATTATGAAACCAAATTTAATACGAGTATAAAAGTATTAGACAATTCACAAAAATAATCGCAGAACTTAACTTAGTCATTTATCTTTGTTAGGAGATGAAAGCCAAGGAAACCATACACAATCCTAACCTGACTGCAGCTCTAAATTCATTTGAAATTTTAGTGCTTTAGAAAATACTAGGTAGGCATACTGTTGGGAAACAATTATCTATGAGAATAAATATAGAGGATAATTCCCAAAGATATTCATACCAAAGTATACTCGGTCATTTATGTTCATAAGCTAATTTGCTAACCAAGTGAAGGACAAGATAGAGAGCCAAACAGAGCATAAACAATTCCTGGACGTCTAAACATTCCCAAGAGGAGAAAGATTCTAGTTCGAAAAGTTAGCCTAGTCCAATACAAGGCAAATAACCTCTGGTTAAGTACTAGATTCAGAAATTAAAATTAATATCCTTTCTTTTTAGCAGAAAGAAAATGGACAACATTATGCTCTTCAAAAGATATTCCTCCATGTTTGGGAGCAACTCACTTGCATCATAACAATAAGAGACTTTTGCCTGTAAAAAAATTTCCGTGCCATCCATCCACGAGCATGAGATTGGATAATAATTGCTGACGTATTTTTCTTTCTGTGAAGATAGAAATCCCTTCTGAACTTTAAACACTTGAAAATGTTTTGAATTGTTATAACTGCTTGCTTCTTTTTTGCAAAGTGTTTTCTCATCAACCAACCACGATAATAACTCTGGATTTTAGTTGCAGCACAGTTCTGACTTCGGACAAATTTGTGGCTGGTGAAGTTTTGCCATGCATGCTGAATAGTGAATGCTGCTATAATACGAAGATCAGTCACTTCATTTTCTTTGGACATACCTGAAGCATTTCTTTTCTCGTTCACTCTTTGATCAACCACAGACCTCGCATTCCATCCACGAATGCATCTCTGAATAACAGTGATAGCATTAACATGACCTGGAGTGGACAAATCCTTACACATGGCACCTTTACTGCAGCGCCTCCAAGAAATCCAGGCCCTTGTTGCATGCTGAATGATTATAATAGACCTTTTCAAGGTGAGAAAATAATGCCTGTCTCCACTGCATTGCCTCCGAGAAATCCAGGCCCTTGTGGCGCGCTGAATGACTATGATACACTTTTTCAAGTTGACAAAATAATATCTGTCAACCATTAAGGCGTTATATGTTCCAAAATTTTCTGTATGCTCCATGCTAACTGTATGGTTTAGTTAAACATTAGACTTCTGAAACATCAAAAACAGAAAAGAGAACAAATACACGTCAAGTATAATACGCACAAATTGATGATTGGGTGTTCCTTGCATTGGCCTTCTTAACAAATAATTTTTTCTTCACTGACAGCCAAGACCATAAGACATTTTGCAAAACCAGAACTGCATCCCTTTTTCTCAAATAATTTCGACGTTGCACTAATCGCCTGAAGTGAGACTGTATTATAGTTGCAGCATTTTCTGATACAAAACCACAAATGTAATTATCAAGGAAGCATGGAGAGGGAAAAAATTAAATAAATAAATAAATAAAAAACCTCAAACTCAAAGGAGACTTTTCTAGTTTAATCAGAGTAGGGCTTGTCACACCAGCACCATTCACCAAGGCATATAAAGGAGAACAGAGAATGCTAATTTTTTCATCAGAGACGAAACAGGGAATTGCCTTTCATCAAAAGTATTCAGAATTGGAAAAGGGAGAATATTAATACTTCCTTTTACGTATGTTATTTCAAAGTACCTTTAGAACTAGATTGTGTGCACCAGTTAAGGATGGAACAATGCATAGGAATAAATAATGCAACTTGTTATGAATAGAATCAGATTTTGATAAGTACAAGCATTCGAGGTATAATGCACAGATTGCAATAAGTACTACCATATTCAGCTCTGCTAACAACATAATCGAGAAAACAATGTTCCTGTTAAACCAGCAAAATCTCGTTATCATTACCTCTTTGCACATTACTATCCCTTTTGCCAGTCAAGTGGCAATGTGGAGAAAGAGTTGCCTGAGTTAAATTGCACTTATTGTTTTGCCGAGCCATGTCTTGCCACCAAGTCATTATAGCCTTAAAATTCCTATTGTTATCTGCACTACTAGTGATACATCAGTAAGCAATAAATGTAGCAAATCTCTTTAATGATAATTTTAATTGATCGGAAGATATATAACAAAAATGCTGAATGATACATGGAGCCAGTGTATGATGCAAGGAGCATCATATATCATCAAAATGATTTTCAGTAAGCAAGCTATATATACTTGTAATTGTAATATTTGATATGCTCCAATACAAACTTTATGGTAATATAGTAACAATATTCAAAAGTTATTTTCTGCTAAAGCAGACGTATTAGAAGAAACTGCAAAAGGTTGAAATTGTTCTGTCCACTCCCTCTTACCCAGTTATAATTTAGATAAATTTGTCTGAGGATGAGGTCCAACAGAGCACCACATAATTGGTCAAGTTTTAGACTAAGGGCCCGTTTGATTCTTATTATTGTAAAATAAGAATGAAAAATATAACTGTTATTGAACCTCACACAAGAGATAGAACTTCAAAATTGATGGCTTGATGTGATGGATAAAGATCATATTTTTTATTTTTATGAATGAAAAATGAGAAACAAACGGAGGCTAAATGTCATTAGAATAAGACAAAATTGTACAAACAATATAATTTTATCCAACATTTGTTGAAAGCTAAGCAAAAGTAGTTTTTTGTTAAAACAAGTAAATAAATCCACAAGTACTTATGAGAGACCTTCCTCATTGCTCCACCTCCCTGTACTTAAGCGCCTCCTGTATGGGCTCTGACAGTTGAAACCCAACAATTTATGAAAATTTAGTGTATCCTGAAAAGAAAACCAGCGCGTAAAATGATTTCTTGACTGCCATTAAAAGTAATTTCATCAAGAAATATGTTTTTACATACCGTGTTTCTTTTCACTAGAAGTTGAAATGAGAGAAACACCAAGAGGACAACTACGCTTCGGCCATTACATGCACCATTATGTTCAAGTAGATCACTGACTTGTAAAACCTGCACAAGCAGTACCAAGCACATTGATTCCTGTGAAATGCAGTGCTGCTGAAGAAGTATCAACTTCACTGCACTTCATAAATGAAATGTTGCCCTTAAAAATAGAACATTTTTCAACTAGAAACTGATGGTGCTAAGAAACTTATTTTGAACGCATCCTAATTTTGCCAGTCCTCAACTCGTGAACACGACTTTACCGGAATTCTACTAGACACTCATGGGAAATAACCATTATGAAAAACTTATGTAATGCTAATTGCTAAATACAAGACCCTTGAAACATATAGTTTCAATCAACCAGAGAAAAACTGACTTCAATCATTCTACAATTTCAACGAACTGTCTGGCTAGCACAAAACAAGTAGTTGGTGGATAAATTGTTGCAAGGAAGCTATAGAGGCTGGTTGCTTTTTAGTCACCATACATCAAAATGTAACTACATAGGGTTAAAGCTTTCCAAATTCATGTTTTTGGTCATGAAATAAATTGAAACAAATATTAATCTATAAAATGGGAAAAAAAAAATCATGAAGAATGAGGATATACAGGAGTAGATTAGTATGAAATCTTTAGAAGCTTGGAAATGCTTCGTCTTTAGATGTGGTAGTCATATAACCTTTAAATCTGAGAAGAAAAATTAAGTTGGCTGTCTTTTATCCACCAACCCTGGAAATGCTTCGTCTTAAGGTGCGGTTGTCATATAACCTTTAAATCATACAAGAAAAATTGGTTGTCTTTTATCCACCCAAGTGCATTGAAGAACTAACTTCAGCACATATTTTTTGTTTTTGAAATTTTGCTAATTAAACCTTCAAGTTCCATATTTTCATGCATGCAAAACATAACATTACGTTGGCATCTTTTTAAAAAATTAGTTTTCCTTTTTATTTACTTCCACTTTTGAAACTGATATTCGTGTTGATCATAGCCTTTGTTTGCGTTTCATTTACTTTTGCTAGAATTTTATTTTTCAAGAAATGAGCAATGCATAAGTGGGAGTATTTGTAGATTTTATGTGCTTAAAATTAATATTTGATTTTGAACAGTTAAATTTTAGCAAAAGAAAATGAAGCTCAAACAAAGGCGTAGACCCAGACATCTTCAAGTCTTTCCATTTTTTCAATAAAAATAATATTACCTCAGGAAAGTTTCCCAATAATGATGTTAACTTTTGAGTAAGAATGAAATTGTGCACTGCATCTGTATACTCAATTGCTGACATAATCGAAACTTTATTCGTTGTAGCATCTATGTCCTGAGGAACCATAGTCGGATAAGGTTAACTCCAAAACATAACGAAGGAAATAAAATATTATTAGAATATGTAGAGAGTTCAGAAATGAGAACAAGAAATATACGTGAATACCTTAAAAGAACATGAACAGTCATGTTCCTTGCGAAAGTAGTAATCAAGCAAGCACCACATGGCTTTTCCATCCAACAAGGAGGAGTAATTTTCAATCTTGAGATCGTAACTTTCACAAATAGCCTGAAAAAGGATCCTACACGTGACGTACGAAGTATTTGACAGTTTATCAATCGAAACATATATGGGTTGATTCAGCTACATGTTTGCAATAATTATCTTGAAATCAAATTACTCTTAGCTGGGTTACTATCTGGTGATCGACTAGCACAAATTCATCATATAAATCAAAAGTGATGCCACAAACACAAGTCAACGTGTGATGGAAAACGTGACATAGGCAGAACAAGAGAAAAAACTTTAGTATGAAAACAAGGTTGATGAACAGGAATGTCTAAAGAAAGAGCAAGATATGAACATGTTGAAACTTGAAAGGGATAACAACTCAACATACAAGTGCACCAAACAGAAAGTATGAATTAATTGGTGCATACTCTCACAGCTCTCTATAGATCTTCACTCGCTTGTCCCACTCGTCAACCTTTTGAGAGCTAGAGAGAGTAGATGACACATCCAAGTTTGAAGCCAAAGCTTCCCTTGCCACTAGGGAGTCATCAAAGTATGAGTCAATTCACTTGCTAACTAATACTGGAATGTCAAAGACATGATTCCATTTCGCTAATGCCCCTTTCTATTCACACATCAATACTCACACTTAAATAAATTTTCACACCAACAAATCACATCTTACTTATTAAGTTTTGACGTGCCTATTTGATCTAAAATAATTTTCAACATCGTTTTAATAACTAGTTTCTTAGGAAAGGGAAGAAGGAAGGGCATTTTATATCCTCTACATTTACCAACAAAACTCCCAAATGTCTCACATATGACCATAGTCTGAGGTTATTTTCTTTTGATTTGAGGCTCACTTACGGTCTTCAAAACCACTCTTTAAGAAACAATGCCTTTAGAAACACATGAATGAGCATGCCAAATCTATAGAATATGATTTGGATGAATTAGAAAAAGGATATTTTAATAAACTAAATACCTGAACCCAGCTCAGAAGCAAGTCCAAGAGACTCTCGGTGCTTGATTGTTCCTGTAAAACAGTGGAAGATAATTTGTCATTAAATTATGATTTTGAAACAAGTTTTTAAGAAAGAATAGCTAGATAGATGCAACAATAACACTCTTATTAGCCAACTTTGGTTAAGTATCAACTAGGCTAATTATCATATATACATGTGACTTTTAGAATGCCTCCATTGTAAGATAATCTTTCTCAAACCCCAGTAAGCAAAAATAATTTTCAAACTGGAAGCATACCACAACTCCCCGGATCTTTGAGATTTCTTCTGACAAAAGTGTTTTGTTGATTAATTGCGGCAACTGCATAACGCATTAAAGAGTTAATGAGCAGAATCCTTCCTGGATCCAGCAGTTAATAATTAACTGCACATCTATTGGTTTAAATATGCAGTAAAAGACATTGTTAATGATACACAGTTACTCAATCTACATAACAGTGAAAATTCTGCAGGTTCTAACAAAAAAGTTATAGAGAAGTACAATATGAAGAGACTATAAATGTGGATTGCAAGAAATAATACGAAGCACCTGTAAGTGAACAAACATGTTCCATAGCAAGGAAAGTGTAAGCTCCTTGTCTCCATTTACAACATCTTCTCCTATAATCTCTGCTCCATCTTCATCAAGTAACGACACACCAGCCTCCTTTAGATATTGCAGTGCAATACCACAATTAACCATTCTCTTTTTTAGGGTATCAGATGGAACCACCACTTTCTGTCCATAAAAAGTGAAAAACTCATTATCCAGCCAAAGAACCTAAAACGGGCTGATTATTTATCTACTATAAACCTGACCATGAGAATGGAGGAATCGTGTTTTAAGAGCTGAATAGATCTGCAAAGCCTGATCCCATCTTTCAGATCTTCAAATAAATCTGTGACTTTGAAATCATACTCGATCAAATGACTCTGCACAGTACAACAAATGGTCATGAATTGATGCAAAGAGTGAGTGATTAAACTTAAGTTAAACCAGATGTATACAGCATCAGAATTCAATTTATTTTTTTACAGAAAAGAGAGGCCTGACGCTATAGCAGACAAATGTAGCCGAAAAAAAAAATAGAGTAATCCAAGTTGCTTACCTGTTGATAAGTTACTTTATACCCGACAATTACAAGATGTGCAAGAAGATTTCCTTCCCCATGCATCACATCAGATGACAAAACATCTAATTTCAGAAATGAGAAAAAGAAGTCAAAACCTAATAAGAACAACATCAAAGAAGTAGCACACAGAACTTACAGATGGGAAGAAGAATGTATGAATTACCATTGAGCACTTGACGGCTTGATTTAATATTTGATTTCAAAGAGAACAATAAAGGAGATCCACCATCCAGTCCATCAATACCGTATTTAAGGGGGAGACTGGTTTGAGATTTTGCTCTATCAAGTATGATAACAAGTAATAATAATCTCTTCAAGATTACATTCCCCAAATTTTCATAGTAACCTGGTCTATATAACCCCTCAACTGACTTGTTGTAAGCATAGGCTTTGGCTAATCCACTGTGTGAGAAGAATTGTTTATCAATTACCATCCTCAAGAACACAATCTCTTGCTCGGAATTGACATTAGCATTTGCCAATAATGAGTCACCGCCCAAGATAATGTATAACCCAATCCGAAGCCAAATTGGGTTGTAGCACATTAGAATTCTCAAGGCTTTTTCCTTCATCCTTACATCACTAACTATGGGGCAACTTGCCCTCATTTTTAGCCTGCCTTCATCAATATTCTGAAAAGAAGTAACAAATGTTAGCGGAAATCATATTAATATTACAATTAATATAGTCAATGCCATTACAAGGATTACTCAGTTCTATCTTTATTCAAAAAAAATCCAAACCAAAGCACATTACGATAACTACTAAACTTATAAGAATGTCAGTAGAGTAAACAAAGCAATAAAATAAATAGTCACAATTACATTTAGTTTTGAAAGAACAATGATTGTTGAGCCAGATTTGCTTAAAACACATAATCTGGAACGAAAACTAAAACCATGCAGCTCTTAACAAATTGAAAAATTATTTTCGCACTGGACTTAAAGTGAGATCATCATCTGAGCATAAAAGAACAAAAGAATGAAATAATACAATAATTTCGGGGTAAATAAGCTAAAAAATAAACCTAAATTATTATTTAAATGGATGCTTTAGTATCCAGAGAGAACTTCTAGCAAGGTTCACGAATTTGACCATAGAACAAAATATTTGTAAGGATAAACTCTAAATACAAGTTATATTTTTTCATTATTTACACATTAAGCTTATGGAAATGAACAAATTATCTTGTCCAAAGATGAAATTTACCTCTTGAATAAAGCTCAAAATAGCACCCTAAGACGTATTGACATGTCCACTCCACTAGAGATCTTGTAAACCAATTTTAGCAAAAGATAATATTTTCTTAATAGACACTTAGTCGCAGTGCAATAAGCTAATTATTCTGCACAATGCATGAAAATGACTTCATAAATTCATCTCTTTCTAACAATTTACTGTCTTTCTATCAATTGCGACAGTATTTACGTGAAAATTTTGTAACCAATTTCAGTAAATTAGAGTCAAACCTTTGTTACTTGTGTCATTGTCTCGAAAATCTCTTTACAACTACCCAAACTCAAGTAAACCCTCATTCTCTCCTTTAAATCCTCGAAGCTACAAATATCTCGCAAAGAAGCCCTCAACCCTGAATACAAAGAATTGGAAAATCCAGCATCACCCCCTTCTGCACTACCCATGCCTCTCCACGATGAATCTTTCTGCCTCTTTGGACCTCGCCAAGGCCCGTCAACTCCCACTCCACGGACCGGCATGATGTCCCTCTTCCCGTTGTTAACTAAGATCTCCATGGCGTCACCTGCACCCCCTCCAGACCCGTCAACTTCTCCCGTGAACCCCGAAACATTGCAACCACAGGAACCAGGGTTTTCAAACAAAAAATTCAGCCATACGGTGAGCGATCTTGCAAGTGATTGAAGTGATTTTTCCTTTTCGATTTGGACCTTCCTGGCCGACTTGGATTGCTCGAGCTCAAATGCCTTCAATCTCTGTGCCGTCTTTGATTTCAAAGATGAGGTTTTCAAGCCGCGTCGTGAATGGGAGACGGGGGTGTTTTTTGAGGCAGTGAAGAACTTGGGTTGCTTGGAATAAGGACTAGACTGGAAACTAAGGGTTCGTGAGGCCTGATTTGGGGTTTTGAAATTCGACAAGTCCTTAAAGACTGAAGTTGACGGAGGATTTGGTAATGGCGAAGGAGGACATGAAGTTAAATTTGTCTTCATTTTTCTTGATTCCATTTTTTCTGCGATTTGCAGTTTTCTTCAGTGAACTTTCTGAAAGAGAATTGCGGAGCGTTTTTCTGGGGAGTGTCTGAAGGTGGGGAATTGGGGATTTTGAGATCCGTTTGAAGTTTGAATTGGTGAACATATGGGCGGTTCCCGAAGTGTTAGAAATGAAGTTAAAAGATGGCTTAATAGCAGAAAGCCCCCAACCCATTAGATGGTGTGCAAAAAGCTCCCTACATATTGAAAATAGTAGAAAAGGTCAATGTTTGAAATCTTCAGTATGAAATACAACCTTTTAAGTGCGGAAAACCCCTTGCCGTCCAATTCCGTTAGTTTAATAATTAAAAACAGTAAAAAAAAATTCAAAGTTAAAAGATGGCTTAATAGCATAAAGCCCCCAACCCATCAGACGATGTGTAAAAAGCTCCCTACATATTGAAAATAGTAGAAAAGGTCCATGTTTGAAATCTTTAGTATGAAATACAACATTTTAAGTGCGGAAAACCTCTTACTGTCAAATTCCGTTAATTTAACAATTAAAAATAGTAAAAAATTTCAAAATTAAAAAGGAATAATTGCAGTTACAATCTCAAAAATTTTATTTCTTTACAAATTATGGGTGTGTTTGACACCCATTTTGAAGAAGAATAAATTCTGGAATAGTGATTGATGAGAAGAATGTGTGGTTAAAAAGTAAGAAGAATTTTTGGATTTATGTTTAATATTATTTTATTGATAGAATGTGTGGTTGAAATGAAGAAAGAGAAAAAAATGAGAAAGAGAATGGGAAAAGAATGGATGTCAAACATGATGTATATCTAATTTTTTTATATGTGTCACCCACAATCTCAAACTTTTAAAATATGCAGTTAAAAGATGGCTTAGGGCTCATTTGATTCTCATTATTATAGAATGAGAATGAAAAATATAGTCATTATTGGGCTCCACACAAGAGATAGAAATTCAAAATTGATGGTTCGATGTGATGGATAACGGTCATATTTTTCATTTTTATGGATGAAAAATGAGAAACAAACGGGAGCTTAATAGCAGAAAGCCCCAACCCATTAGACGTTGTGCAAAAAGCTCCCTACCTATTGAAAATAGTAGAAAAAGTCCATGTTTGAAATCTTTAGTATGAAATACAATCCTTTATGTGCAGAAAACCATTTTCCGTCCAATACGGTTAATTTAACTATTAAAAATAGTAAAAATTTTCCAAATTAAAAAGGAATAATTGCAATTACAATCTCAAAAATTTTATTTCTTTACAAATTATAACCAATTTTTTTATATATGCCAACCACAATTTCAAACCTTTGAAATTTGATTGTCTACCCCACGTTCAACCATAACCATGTAATTCCACTTCCAGACCATTATCACATTTTTATGTGGAACTGGAGACGAAGAATTTCAACTTTCAATTTTTATAATCATTTATGTACAACTTTCCCTCTTAGCTTTACACCGAAGACTCTCTCCATTTTCGCTAGCACGACCTTCCCACTCTCGTACTCTTGAACCACATGTGGCTGTTCATTAATCTGCTTAGCCAGCTCATCTTGGCTCATTTCTTTGCTATTTGAGCCTTTTGTATTATTTGTAGCTCAACTTGGTTTACGGCCTTGGGGTCTTGGAGGTCCTATGTTGGGCTTGGCCTTGTAGAGGATTATCGGCTTCCAATCCTACGCCATCGCCCCTAGATTTTTGCTCGACATTTGTGATTGTTGTGAGAAGATATTAGAGAACTGTTAATTGCGAGATTGTGAAGAAATGTTTCTGCGTCTGGGACCATTCTATTTGTACACCAAGGTTGACGCCCCGGTGTACAGACCCCCTCACAATAGAGGGGACCCACGATTTTTTGATTGGTCGTGGCCCCCTCTCTTGTGAGGGAGTCTGTACATTGGGGTTGACGTGTACAAATAGCATTTTCCATAAGGTGAAGTGAGGTGAGGAGGAAATAATGTTCAATTATGCTACTTAGACATAGCAGTTGACAGAAATGGTAATAGAGTGATACGGAAAATGGGGTAAGAAAAAATAAAAAGAAAGAAAAGGGGAAGTTATTTCAAATCTGGGTCAAACCCATTTCAAACCAGTGTACTTCATATAAAGCAGGCAAACTCGAAAAAATAATTTTTTTCCCTCATTTGGAGAAACCCTTTTGCATCTGTGACGAAGATTTAGGAAACACCCATTTTCGGGAGCTTGAACTACGACCAACATATCTGTTGTTGATATCAAATTTCGAGTTTCTTCAAGAATCATAAGTACTTGCATCTATTCCACAGCCTTTGTTTTTCGTCTTTCTACAATTAAAATGAAATCAAAATGGGTAGTGTCATACATTATATGAACATAAAGGATTACTGAGAATTTTCACTAATCTATTTATTTTATTGCTTTTTCCCTATTTTTCGACGATCAAAAACAAGGGAAAAACTACAATCCAACTAGATCCGGAGAAAACTCAACTATATATGTATATATATTAAGTGAAATTCAACTAGATTCAGACACAAAAATTGTAGCTTTGAGGGTGGAATTGTAGGAGATTTGGGTGAAATTTGTAGTAGCACATGGCTGTGGGTTTTTTTTTTTTTTAATTCCATGGTTTGACGAAAATCTGTACCCATTTATCATTGGTGCAATTGTGACTGGGTTTCAAAAATTAGCTGCTTATGAATAAGGTTTTAATCTTTTATATTCGTGAAACTTGAAAATAGTAGTGTGTGAAAAAAAGAAAAAAATATTTATTGAAACATGTTTGGAAAAGAAAAATAATTAGTTGTAAATTTTATTGAAGAATAAGCTTAGCCCAAACATGTTGTTAGTGTGCCATCCAATGTTAGCTAAAAAAACAGTGTTACCATTCCTTTCCCACGTGTTAGCAAAGTCCGAACATGATGTTAAAACTATATTATGAGCATGAATCAGTCCTAGATTGACAATTACGTTAGAAATGTCAAGCTTGAAAGCATACTCACTTAATCTTGGCTGAGAATTGAGCCAAATTTTGGCTGATATTCATAAACGGTTTATAGTTGATAAAATCAATTTTTATCTAGACATTACTTGTGAAACTCACAAGAAATTCAAGTATTCATCAATCACGTTTTTGTCGTTCAATGACTTTTGTTTTAGATTTAGAAGAATAATAGACATGACGCTTTTGATTATGTCGTTAGGTTTTCTTTTGTTTATATATAGAATTAATATATGTTGTGCTTATTATATTTTTTGGTGTTTGATTCACAGCTTAAAATAAGAGGAAAGAATCATGGAGTCTGCCATAGCTGTAAACCAAAGGAAATTTTTTTGCAGAATGTCCTACAACCAACCATGCCCATGGCGCAAACATACCTTTTTGAAGTGTATTGATGTAGAAAAGAACACCAACAACTAAGGTAGACTATTCAATACGTACATCATGAAATGTGATTTTTGGAAGTGGGTCAAAGAAGAGGAAACAAGTGGTGAATCAAGTTCAGTCACTAGTACTCAAGATTTATCTTGCATTCTCAAAACACGATGCCAATTAACTGATGAACAATGGACATGGAGATTGCTATGAACATGACTATATGCAAATGAAGAGCACGTAACTAAATGGGATAAGAGTGAAATTCCCTGGCTTGAGCTGAAGCAGTTTCTTTTGAATGAAATTGTAATTTCAATTATGTAAATATATATAATTTCAATTATTCACTAGGATCTTAGATTTTTTTATTCATTAATCTGAATTTCTTAAATTCGTGTTCAACTTCTGCTTCTCTATTTTAGATGTTTATTTCTTTGTACTTTACTTCCTATTTCATTCCAACCATGAAATCCAGAATAAATTGTTACAAGCTGAACAATAAAGGAAGCACCCAAATACTCTGTCTGCACATAACATTACTACAAAGCACTGAAGGAAGTATACCACAAAGCTAATAGCACGCAATTAAATTGTTACAAGCTAAACACTAAAGGAAGCGTACCACACAACGTTCAAAGAGATTGAGTTCAAAATCACATTTATTTAAAGCACAAAACAAGTAATGAAGAACTAAAAATGACAACAGCACCGTTGTCTTCACCAAAATCATCCATTTTCGAATAGCTATACATAACCAACAATATCGAACATCTATCCTTAATAACACACATCCAGCCAAATGTCTAGACCTCATATGTTGGGGTTAATAATGTTATAGAAGTTGTCCATCTTCTACAGGAGCATTTGTATTTCTTCCATCAGAATACATTTCTAACTGTTGTGTTTCATTAAAATATTGATATTTGATAATTCCTCTGCTAAAATATATCCTAAATTATTTTATTTTATGTTATATAAGTAAAACTCAATGGTTGAATGAGGAATCGAAAGAAAGAAACGAAAATTGGTGAAAATATGAAAAATATAAAGTTTGAGGACCAAATTGTAAATATTCAATAGTTGATTTGGATACAAGAAGATGCTTTGAAGAGTGTTAGGAGACAATTGGATTAAATTATAACTAAAAAAGAATGAAATATTATCAAAATCAATTTTCAATCATACAAGTTATATTCCAAATTTTTAGCCAAATATTGAGACCTATTTTGGCACAGTAAATATTCGAATTGGAAAAATTATATTTCTAGACAAGGTGCAGTGTTAGATTTTCAATTCACTTTGAATCGCTTTAATCGGATATTGAGAGAGAAAGTTATAGCCAAAATATTGACTGCTGTGCAGAGACAAAAAATCTTTGCCCGAATGCAACTTTCCTTATTCGTTTGAAACTCTTTTGAAAACCAATTTGAATGCGATTTTCAACTAATTTTCTACTTCTACAAATACCTAACAGCAGAATACATATGTGAGACCTTTCATATACATCTCATACTCCAAATTCATCAATTATTATCATCAAATGAGGAAAATTCATACTTGATTTTTGTGAGAGAATTGAAGGGGACTTACAAGAATTTAATCAAGTGGAGATTCAAACTTGATTTTTTTTTTAGGCAAAGAAGAG